AGGCTGCATTTATTTGATCCAAAGTAGAGCAAAACAGTAAAATTTTGAATTATTTTTACTATTTAAAATAACTGCTTTCTATTTGAAAGCAGTTATTTTAAATCTTCAGAAATAATTCTAATATACTGACTTGATGATGATCAATATTTTAAACAGTTGAGAGGGGGGGGGAATTATAGAAATGTTATTTAGCGCTGCAATTTTATTTTATTTATAATACTTTTATTTAGCAAGGATGCTTTAAATTGATCAAAAAGATTATAATGTTACAAAAGATTTCTATTTCAGATAAATGCTGTTCTTCTGAACTTTCTATTCATCAAAGAAACCTGAAAAAAGCTACTCATTTGTTTTCAACATAATAATAAATGTTGTTGAGCAACAAATCAGCATATTAGAATGATTTTTGAAGGATCATGTGACTGGAGTAATGATGCTAAAAATTCAACTTTGAAATCACAGGAATAAATCACATTTTAAAATATTTTCAAATAGAAAACAGTTATTTTAAATAGTAAAAAAAAGTTTTTGCTGTATTTAGGATCAAATAAATGCAGGCTTGGTGAGCAGAAGAGAATTCGTTAAAAAACATTACAAATCTTACTGTTCAAACGCTTTTGACTGGTAGTGTATGTCAGTACCATAGTTTGATATAAGGTAAACATTAATTTATTTGTGCTGTTTCTTTTTCTTAAATATTATATAGTTTTATAGGAGAGGTTTCATAGACTTGGAAAATTCATTTTTCAGAAGTTTGTATGCAACAGACATCTGTTGTAGGTGTTCTTGGCAGTTTTTATGAGGCTTTTTTTATAATTGTTCATATCGATATCGGAATTATATCGTATCGAAATTAAGAAATATATCGTGATATAAATTTTGGCCATATCGTCCAGCCCTATGTTAGCATGATTAGCGTGTTAATAGCATGTTGCTAGCATGATTCTAGCACAATTAGCAAGTTACTAGCATGTTTGCTAGCTTGTTTCTAGCATGATTAGCAAGCTATTAGCATGTTGCTAGCATGATTAGCATGTTTGCTAGCTTGTTTCTAGCATGATTAGCATGGTGAGACTGTTGCCCATCTGTTGCAGTCTTTATTTTCTCCGACTTTTATTTCATTCTTTCTCCTTCTTTTTCCTTCTTTCTGAAACCTAAAATTTGTTGGACTTTCTCTCTCTTATCTTCTATCTTTCCTTTCTTGTACTTTCGTTACGTCTCTCTCTCTCTCTCTCTCTCTCTCTCTCTCTCTCTCTCTGTGTGTGTGGTTCGGTCAGTATGACTGCCTCCCCCTCTGCTGCATTGCGCACTATGGCTCCTCTCGGTGGTGCCGAGGACGGGTTTAACCTCTTCAACGCCCGCGGTGTCCTTTCCTTCATCCAGTCAACCACACGTCGGGCCTACCAGCAGGTCCTGGAGGTCCTGGACGAGAACCAGCGCAGGTGACCTTTGACATCAGACCCCCTGAATCTGCCATGAGAGACTGACTTTTGGCTAAATTAGATGTTGCTTCACTGAGTAACCAATCAAATGTATTAGATTAGGCCAGGAACAAAGTCCTCTACGACAGATAGACATTCACGTGTCACTCTGATTTGGTGAGAAAATACACTAAGCATATTAGGACTGACAGACAAAAAGTCCTCCTCAAAATGTCATACTTTAAACAACAAAGCACAACACCCTACACATTTAAATTTTAGGAGGTAGTTTGTTAAATGACAGCTTGTGTTGTTTGCTGTTGGATGTGGACACGCTGCTTTCCTAAGCTCCATTTCTTCCTCAGCCTCTTGGTTTGGGGTTTTATGTTTAGCATGAGTAGTAATGTGCGCAAGATTTTATTTCTTTCTCTTTTGTTTGAATCCTTTCTCTTTTTCCCCTGAGCTTTTAGATTTCAGTTAAGTTTACACAAGCAGTTTGTGGCATTGCTGTATAGTTTTTAAAGAAATGTTTGTTCATTACAAGTTCAAGATCTATTGACAGCATTTCTGGCATGATAACCACAAAAAAAAATTATTATTATTTTAATTCAATTAAGAAAAAAATCAGCTATATTTAAAAAATGAAATGTGAGGCTTGTATTTTTATTTTTTTTTACATGAGAACTTGTTATATTTAGATTATTTTATTATTGTAATATTCCTTAAAATACCCACACACATTTATTTGATCACAAATACAGTAACCAGTAACCAACCAGTTGTTGTAACATATTTTAAAATGTAATTTATGGCTGTGATGTAATTAATTTTGCAAATGTAGTTTAAACTGAATTTCATGCAGCTATTACTCCAGTCTTCAGCGTCACATGATCCTTCAGAAATCATTTTAATTTGCTGCTAAAGCAACAATTTTTATTATCAATGTTGAAAATGGTTGTAATTTATTTATTTTTGTACTTGGGGACAAGTACAAATTATTTTCTTTGGTATTCGATATTATGCCACAAATGCTGTGAAATGATTCAGCCTTACATTGAATACGGAACATTCCTTTAATTTGGGTTTCTGTGAATACCTGCACTGTACAGGTGTTATTCATGAGCTCATTTCCTGTGCTCTGTGACCTGCTTGGCATTAACTTCAGTTTCACTGACAGGCACTAAACTCTACTGTAGGTTTGTGTAAAACCACTGTCTGAAAATGAGACTAAAATTAATATTTTTGTGTTTACATCTGTGCAGTTGGCTGGTTTCTTTTGTAAGGTTTATTTGATTAGAAAAAATGTTGACAGGGTCTGTGAGACAAAGACCACCTGCAGCATATACATATTTTATATTAGTTAAAGCGCATTTGCATGTTATTAAAGTTGTCTGTCTGTGTATGTCTTCTTTTGTCCTTTCCTTCTCTCACTTTCTCCATATCCGCTTCTCAGCCAGCCGTCTCTTAGAGGGGGTTCAACCCTCTCTAACCCCCAGCATGACAACAGGTAACTTCCTCTCATCTCTTCCCTCTCATCTGTTTTTTCTCTCAATTTGTTTTTCTCTCTGTCCTCTCAATACATTCTCAGTGTCTTATGAAATGAAATAATGTATTTGACAGGCATGCCCTGGCCCCACTGGACCCAACTATAGAGGGAGGAGCAGATGACATGGCTGTTGTGGACGCCACCTCTCTACGCAGACAGGTATTATTCCGCTGCTTAATACTGTGCAGTGTTTAAAAAAAAAAAAACGTGTAAAAGATAAAAACATATTTTATGCACACTAGCATTCAGATGTCTTTGGAAAAAAGTATCTTATGCTCACCAAGGCTGCATTTATTTGATTAAAAATATAAAACTGTACAAAAAATGCCTGTGATGCAAAGCTGAATTTTCAGCATCGTTACTCCAGTCTTCAGTGTTAAATGATCCTTCAGAAATCATTCTAATATGCTGATTCGATGCCTTTATTGATCTTTTTATTATTATCAATGTTGAAAACAGTTGTGCTGTTTAATATCATTGTGGAAACCTTAAAGGGATAGTTCACCCAAAAATGAAATGTGATGTTTATCTGCTTACCCCCAGGGCATCCAAGATGTAGGTGACTTTGTTTCTTCAGTAGAACACAAAAGATTTTTAAGTCAAACCGTTGCAGTCTGTCAGTCGTATAATGTCACTGGATGGGAATCACGGCTTTGAGAATCATAAAACATACACAAACAAAACCAAATTAAACCCTGCGGCTCGTGATGATACATTGATTTGTAAAGACACGAAACGATCGGTCTGTGCAAGAAACTGAACAGTATTTCCGATCTACCGGCTTTACTGACAAGATGCGCGTTAAATATCGCATGCGATTTATCGTGCAGCCCTAGTTCGCGTCTTCTTCTTCAGCCTGTGCGTGAGGTGTCTTTTTCTTCTTCTTGCTTTACGGCGGATCGCAGACTTATAAGTGCATTACTGCCACAAATGGCC